TTTTTTTTTTTTTTTTTTTTTTTTTTTTTTTTTTTTGTAACCATGGCAAACATCAAGGGTGATCAAGCCCTGGACAATTATATCCCACACAAAATAAATATGTATTTATTTTTATTTTCAATATTACTCTACATTTTAAATTACGGAGAAGTGTGAGAAACAACACTCACACCAGTCAGTTTATATTACGACCTTGCCCGCCTTTTCTCTCCAATAAGTCCAATAACATATTAGCCTTTCCCTAAACCCTAAACAAATATACAGATCCAGAGGTTGATCTAATAATTATTAGTGTGTACCAGTTTCAAGCATCACAAGTAAATTTTCGAGAGTGTTTTAAAAAGGTATAAAAATGACTGAACTTCGACTCGATACTTGTAAAGTTTTTCAAGTCTTCTCAAAAGGAAAAGAATTCCAGAAAAGGGCTAGCAAATAGATCCATTTTTGACCATGCCAGGATCAGAATTGAAACTTATCCAAACAATTTTCAAAAACCGTTTTCCTTATTTTTGTGGTGAAATGAAATACTTAGCCCGAAGCTATCAACACTAACAGATATTTGGTAGCGTGATCGCAAATTCGTAGCCCTCGTGACTATTGGTTTGACGTCATTCAATGTCACGCAATATATAGTGAGTATCTCAAGGTAGAGTGAAGGCTGGGAATAAACACAGTACACTTTGCTTTCCTTTTTGAAGAAGACGTTTAATCGCTGAAAACTAATGGCTTCGCATGTATCAGCAGGTCAGTAAAATTAACATAATTATCAAAATTGAATTAAATTTTCTCTTTTTTCCTCGTAAGTACAAGTCGGACAATGACCGCCGATTGAGCAAGGTTAGGTTTTAAGATTGGTTTATGAGACAGTTAAGCTTGAGTCATACTCCATTGGGTGAAACTTCCATTGAGAACATGGGCTTATATACGACCAAAATTCCTAGCTAGAAGGAAGTTAAACATCTGCTGATTTATGATATTTTCGGGTAGTTGAACTCTTTTCCACTTCGAAACAACTCCAGTTACAGTAAGTGTTGGTTTAGTTGGAGCGTGACGCACTGACCCACTTATTAATAAGCCTATCTTAGGATCGCTTTCAAAAACTGCTCGATCACGCTCCACCTGTGAAACAAAGAGTAGCATCCATTTCATCTGTACAGTGAGTAATATTTAAATCTACCTAGCTCATTTAGAAACTGGATTTTCAGTCGAGATTTCAAGGTGTTAAAGCCTGTTTCTCACTTAACATTTACTTGTTGATCAACAAATCACCTGACAAATGTTGTACCTCCTTTTCAACATGTACCCTGCCATGTTTAATGCCCGACATAGTCAATCAAACATTTGGTAATCATACCCAATCGAACTCCAATCGTTCGAATGACTTCGATTGGGTTTGGTAATCGAACTTAATCAAACTCGCCCAAAATTTTGCTAATCGAACACAATCGAACATTCAGAAATCGAACACTTAATCAATAAAACATAATAATCAAACACTGCATGCAACAATCAAACATAAAACCAGTTTCATCTGGTTTCAAACAAAAGGCGTTGTGTTCAAATATTAAAGTTATGTAAAGGCTTCACTTTCGAACACGAGTACGCAAAGATGTCATGGAGGGTGGAAAACACAAACAATTCTAGAAACGATGGTTAAAGGCTACCACGAGTGCCTGCTTTCACTGTCAGTGTCTGTGAAAAGTTTATTTTTAAGAAGAAAAGGGGAGATCCAGCTCTGAAGGTAACTGATGATGGCCGCGGCCAACTCGGACATTTGCAATGTGAACTGGTGCATGTGTTTGCACGTTTCCCAAGTTAATTGTGAATTTATCAATTTTGAATTACTTAAGCAATAAAGATTTTAATTAATTCCAGGTTAATTGAAATATTTTTGTTTCCAAACTGCTTCAAATACATATTAAAGGGAGATTTTTCCTATTTAACTGGATGCATGAACTAATCGCGTCGATGAGTTCGATTCGTCAGATTGAGTTCGGTAATCAAACTCATGCTTACCAAACCAATCAAACAACAATCCGACTGATCGGGTTCGATTAAGTTTGTCGGTTTCGTTTGATTGACTACGCCAGGTTAATGTTGAAATTACCCATTAAACCTGTTGAATGTTGTTGAATAAGAATAGCTCGGAGATGGGCTCTATTCTATTCAACAGGATTCAGCAATGTTGAACTGTGTCTTTCTCCTTTAATTTAACAAGATCTTTATACCACTTGGTTCACAAAAATGTTGTGGTTTTCACACAATGTGTCATACAAACTATATTGAAATTAAGCATTTCAACCTTTGAACCCCCTTAGACTTGAGGATGAACAAACATTTTGGATAAAAAAAATGAAACATTTGGTATGATTTTTGAGACCGGGTGGGTTTCCACTAGAACTTTGTGGTAGTGGATCTACCCTGGTCAAGGCATGCATTGAACTTCGTTTTAAATACTAACTCGAGATCCTCAGAAAAGCAAGCAACTTCAAGTTGTCTGTTTTTATTTGAAGACCCTTCAAAGCTGGGCTTGAAATCCACTTGAGTCAGGATACTTATCACAATAGACGTTGGACTTTAAAGTTTCAGTTGAACTTTGTTTTGCTATGTGGAGGGGTGTAAGTGGTTAACTCCTTGAACTCCGGATCTTGAGGTCCAGGGTTCAAGCCTTGCCCGCTGTGTTGTTTCCTTGGCTTAACAGGGTTAGGGTTAGCCTTAACTCCACTTTGTCTCTGGTGCCTTCACCTTTATTATTACATTGTCTGAGTATACCTGTGACCATCTAATCTGCCATATAATATTACCATATCACAATGGTAATCAAAGTAGTTGGTAAAATAATATTAAATGGGTAGTTTCTTTTCTCATTATTAGTATTCTACATTTCTGACTTTGTGAGGGAAATTTCTATGTTGCATGTGGTCCAATATTATCCTTGGTTTACTGTGCTTTTCAAAAACACAGGAACTCTGAAATTCAAAAACAATTGCATTTTTCGCTGCTGTCAATCTTGACTACGATCACAAGAAACGAACCCTGACACAAGAAAAACACACAAAATGGATTGAAATCCACCAATCACAAATTACAAACCATGACCTTTTGAACCCATCAAGGTAAACTTCTGTTTCCTAAGAGGTCTGTTAAGATTATTGATGGGAGTGAAAAATGCAAACATCTCAATTGCCTTTTTAAGGTGATTCCCTAGTAAAAGAACCTAACATCGATTGTAGATGAAACTTGGTACACTGATGTAACAAGTCAAGAAGATGATAAAAGGGTAATAAATAGTGGGGGTCACCGTGCTCGTTTTGACGTCACAATGCTGACAAATACGGCTATTTTGGACCCTTTGACAAAAACCGCGCGCAGCCCAAAACTAGACAAAAAGGAAAGATTTTTTCAATGATGCATGTGGTCTCACACAGAATTTGACTTTAATGTATTGTTTATCCACTTACGTACTAGAAAAATGCCTTTTAATGCCCTTGTTTTTACTTTATGCTCCAAAGTAGAATTAAATTGGACATGCGCTATTCTACACGTGCGTGATAGCTCAATCTGTACAATTTAGTAAAATTGCCAAAAAACTGAACATAGATTTGTGCCAATTTTTTTCTCACCGAAAGAAAGTACTGTCCTTATTAAAATCATGAAATAAAAAATGGGGGTCACCATACTCATTTTTGCGGTAGAGCTGCAGAAAATGCGCACCAAATGCATTTTCCTTGATTTTTTGAGAGAGGACTGGGGCGAGTTTCAAAATAGAATGTATGCAAAAGGGGGAAGACATATTAAAAAATCCGTTTTTACAGAATTTACATCGAGATATCACATTTAGGACACAATGTGATGAAGAAAGCGTTTAAATGGAAATCAAAGTGAATAAGCACAAATTAAACATCCACTATCGAGGTTCTCCGTGAGGAAGTCAAACTCAGCAACACGCCTACTGCTCACGTTATGCACATTCCCACCACACTGAGTCTCACCTCGGCAAGAAACAACCGCAAGCAAAAATTGCAATAGCGTTTCTCTTCGGTCAACTTCATTTTAATGTTACTTCACATGCTCTTTTTTACAGAGGCCATTTTGTTATGCGCAGTAAGAGATGCGCAGTGCAAAACCAGGGAATCACCTTAACTTCAAAATTCGTGTGTTTTTGGAATTAGCACAGTAAATTTTGTTTTCATTTTTGTTTCAAACTTATCATACTTTACCTGATACCCAAAAACAAAAGAAAAGAAAATTTAGACCAAGCTGAGGGTAAATTGAACCATGGCATCTATTTTAAGAAGGGAACGATATGACATTTCACAGGCACTCAGAGTAAAGCAAAGGTCATACTATTTCATGTGCCATTTGTCTGCCATTTGAAATGATCATTAAAATTTGATTGCCTATATTATTAGTTAGGTAAATCTGTAGAAAGATATATACGTGTGTGGATTTTAAATGCAGACTTCATTGGTCAGAGTGAAGGAGGTGGTTGCATTAAATGGATTTTTCTATTTAGAAAGTGTATGGGCATGTTGCTATGATAAATCACGGTGGCCATAGTAGCATATGGCGTGTTTTCCACTGTATAATTGTTAAGTTTGTTATTGCCTTTTTGAGTTAGTTTAATCAGTCTGCAGCCCTGTGCATTAATACTTTGTTTCTTGTCTTTTTCTATTTAACCAGCAAATCATTGAAATGTAATCAGGGGTGGCAGTAAAGAGTAAATCTCCATCGTTTACAAGATGCAGTCTATAGCAAAAAAGAAAGCGTAAGTGACAGTTTTTTATCTTCTTCTAAATAAAAATTAATAGAGTTTTTATTATGTGAAATTCTAGTGATGGCAGATGACATTAAAAGATGATTCAATGCTTCCTACATACATGTATGTAGATCTAATAGCATTCAGATTACAATATAGTTAGTAGCACTTTTGTCAGGTTTTACCATGATTTGTATATATTTCAAGACTTTCTATCCTGATAAAGTGATACTAAGGAATGCCTTTTTTCTGAACATGGCTTATGTGTAGAGGTTATTTTAAGTGCATTTTCCAGTTTCGAACAATCAAATGATCAACATTCTTATTCTGTAACAGTAACCAATAAGTAACTAATTATAATAAGTGCTATAGGTTATATAATAGTAATGTGATTATTTCAGTAAATACGTAGGGCATCTTATCAAATTTTGTGACCATTGCATTATAGTGTTGAGGTGGTTGTAGCACACAGCCAAAAATCACACACAGACATACATGTATTCACCTGTTAAAAGTGACTTGTATTATTTTGTTGCTATTGCTCTTACAGAGATATGAAAATTGTCATTCTTGGTGATGCTAGTGTGGGTAAAACATCACTGATTCAAAGATATCTACAGGGAGTATTCAATGAAGATAAAATAAGTGTAGGTTTTTATCTTTTTCACATTAAATAATTTTACAACTTAAAAGTTAACCCTTTCACTACCAGTGTGAATGATAAGTCTTTTAGTAGTGATTCTTACTGTTCAACCTGCTGATTAAATATGCTACAACCCTTCAAATGATTAATATTGTCTTGTCAGGAGCATTTTCTTTTGGTAGTATAATTTCTTTTTTCACCATTGATCAAAACAAAATGAAAATTGGGAGTTTTCTCAAATTTTAACTCTGACTACTGTTTTCTGACCCTTCGTAAAAAGCATTTATATTTTCAGCAACGGTTTTGAGCATAGCAACAACCTTTCTAAGGGCACTGTGCGTATTATTTTCTGGAGAAGCCAACCTCTAGAGATCTAAAATCTAGAGACTGTCGCTTTTGACGAACCCACCCCCACTCCGCCCCCAACATCATCAACCAGCCCCCATTCGATGGGAAAAGTCGATCCAGTCCCCAAATTATAACATGGGTTTGACTCAGGATATTGGATATTGAATACAGTCTTCTATGGGGTACAGACCATCAAAATTTGCTTTTTAGACGAAATAGTCTTTGTCCATGTTGAATAAAAAATAATTAATTAAACTTTTTTCGGGAAAATTTCAAAATAACAGTGGACAAAACATCTCAGAAAATTTTCTTTATTCAGGTGGGTTGATGGCCCTTACAGGAGACTGGGAGACTAGTGCCACATATGGGAGACTCTGAAATAATCTGTTAGAGTTGTTATAATTATTGGTATAATTGTGATTTTTAATATGCTGGGTTTGGGAGGCAGAAGTAACATCATCTATGAGTTGGGTTCAGTACTGCTGTGGAATGTATTGTTTTTGAAAGCTTTTTGTGAGACAGATTGTTTTGCAAGGATTTTTATTTGGTGTCTTTAATTTTGTTATTTTTTAACAATCACATGCAAAATACAAGGTGTTAAAACCCGTGAAATTCAGTACCAGTAAGGTAATTTAAGTAAATCTACATAGTTCCCCACACGGAGGTTTTGGAATTCCTGGGTAAGGAGTGTCTCAGAGACCAAAAAAATTAGAGGATTGTAGTCAGGAAGCAGGACTGGAATTTCCGCAGGAGTGAGGAGTCTTTCATAGGAGAGGTATGGAGATGTTCTAGAACAATACAGCTGAAAGGCTTGTCATTGGCTAATAATTCATCGTTCCCAGCTGCACATACTTGTACCAAACCTAAAATAATATTAGTAGAGTACCTCCCCCCTAGAGGATTTTATTCACATTCTTTAAGATAAAGCACTATTATTCTGAAACCTACATTTCATTCTGACAAGATATACCATTCTTTTTTCTCAGACTCTTGGAGCATCATTTTTTCTCAAGCAGTGGGGACCATACAACGTGGCCATTTGGGTAAAGTTATTGCTTATTTAAATTAATAGCATAAACGTGTCTAGGCTTAAAATATGATAGGCCTAAGTGACTTTTCCAGCCAGTAACTTGACTTAAAATAAAGCCTTCCTTTTAATGTCCATCACCATACACTGTACACAGTATGGAACAAAGTTACAGTATACGGGGCCACTGGAGTTCACCCGTGAGAAACCTTTGAAGAATGATTCATGCAGCTATAGACTTCAGTAAGCTCTCTGTTGTTGGCCAAAATTCAAAATAAGTTCTTAGGTGCTTTAAGCAAAGTATCAAGTTTTCTGAGAAAATACATTATTAAGCCTAAAACGACCAAATCTGGCCATAAAATGCGAAATCGCGCGAAAAATCGGCAAAAGAAGATTTATAGAGTTTTATTGAAATACCGTAAAATTCCGAAAATAAGCCCTGGAACTTATATTTTTCAAAGTCCCTTTTTGAGTGGCTTATTTTTGGAGGGTCTTATATTCGGAGCGGCTTATGTACGGAGGGAAATTTGCATTTCAAAATCGACTGAACTAGCTTGTAGTGGGAAGGAAATTTACCATTTTTGCTTTGTTTTACTTTGTATTCGAGGGCAAATTTCAAGTACAAGCCCCCCGGGGGCTTATATTCGGAGGGGCGATTTAACGGAGGGTTTTTGCGTTGCAATTATTTGGAGGGGCTTATTTTCGGAATTTTGAAATGATTAGTTCTAGAAAATATCCATAATTGTCCACTCCTTATAAAACTGATCGTTGAAAATTCCAGGAACACTTGTGAAGGCAAAACCACAACGACAAACCAGTGAGGGTTCGCCGGTATCTTTAGTAGAGCTGGATCAGTAAAATCTTGAATAACCGGGGTGTAAACTGATCCTTACGGCAGGAAGAGTGATCTAAAAATAAAGAAACAAAACAAAAATATAGTGTTGAATTATATTTGCCCGATATTTCGGTTTGCAACGCAAACCCTCTACAAGGGCTATAAAAGAAAAATGAATACAGATAAAAGATGAACGTTACATATATATGTGAGATTTGAATACACAGCAAACAGAAAATGACAGGCCACTAAAAAGATAAATGTCACTAACTGAGTTCATCACGTCTATTTACACCATGAGGTTCTAAAGTCATAGCTTTGTCAATGAAGTGAGCCTCGCGTCGTTGATAGAGTGATCGGCTTGATTATAATGTTTGGAGACAGGAGTAGGATTAGGAAAGTGGCCATAGTTGAAAATGGAGTGGCGATGCTCGCCAAGACGTGATGAGCGTATGAAGCATGAATCTAAAGTTGAATTGCAGAGGGTGGGGACTGGAAGATTACAAACGGCAAACTTGCAGCGGTAAACCGTGATTTAGCCACCTTATCAAGGCTGTGTTCTAGCAGAGCCCAGTGGCCCATGGCGCCCAACTTTTGTTCTTGGGCGACTGGAAAATCTTTGCTTTTTCATAGAAATCATATGCTGGGCACACTGGATTTCACAACTTCAGAGCACTGGGCTCCCTTTAATTTTTCTTAGAGCACAGCCTTGCTTATCACACTGTTGTGTTTGTTGGTCTTTTGCTAGGACACTGCGGGTGAAGAAAGATTCTCAGGTTTGTCGTCATTTTACTGCCGAAGTGCTTCTGCAGCAATTGTAGCTTATGATATCACTCAAGGAAGATCCTTTCAAGTCCTCAAAGAGCGCCATTTGCAACTACTGGAAGCTGCCGAACCAAACTGCCTTATTGTTGTCGTTGGAACAAAAACGGACCTTGTGACAAGGGATACCAGAGAAGTTCCTTCATCTGCTGGTGAAAAATTAGCTATCGAGCAGAACGAAAGAAAAGGAAGGCCCAGGAGTGGTTTCAGTGTCCATCCATTTTTTGAAACGAGTGCGAAAACAGGCAATAATGTGGACAAAGTTTTCGAATTTATTTTGAACACTTGCTTACCTCTAGATGATGAAGAAACTGCTAGAAATTCGTTACGTAAAATGTCAGGTCTGAATGTTGAACAGAAATCACCCAAGTCACGTAGCCATGAATCTAAAAGCTGTTGTTAAATGAAAATTTTAATAAGTCAAGAGCCTCGACTTCGCCCATTAACTGGTGAACACGATAGTTAGCTGCGAGTTTATATTTACGGAAAAAATGGGGAAAGCGACGGGAATACTGCAGATTGTATGCATGTATAGGTGTATAGATTGAGGTCTTTTAAAATAATGGGTCTTTTGCAGAATACGTTCACATGGTACAAAAAACACCTTGCTGGATGGCAAATGGCTAGTCTCCTTGACGGGTAGGAGAGAACCCTGGTAATAAGGTTGGCCGGAGTCACGCAAGCTCCCCGCGCCCACGCCCTACGTGACTCCGGCCGGAGCCGCGGCTTCGAAGGAGACTAGCAAACGACGCACTAGGACCTTGAACTGATGTAATTTTTTGTTTTTCTTGTCTCCTACGTCGTTTTCCATCCAGCAAGGTGTTTTTTGTACCATGTGCATTATTGTATTCTGTAAAAGGCCTATTGATATTAATTAATTTGGTTGGCTTAAGGAGCTGTGTCAGGCATTTTATCCGAATTCAGCCTTAAAGGATTTGGCCATCAATTTGAGTGAAGTAGTATATTTAATAATCAACCCTCAATTTTTTTATACATAGGAAAGCAAATAGAAAAGAAGGTAAGAATTGACAAAAATGAAGAAGAAAATAACACCGCTAACAATCGGCATAAGGGGTTTAAGAGGTCTACAGCCTGTCCGTTTCTTAATATCTTTCTCTGTTCTTCGCTGAGGAAGGAACATTTGTTTGTCCTTAAGATGTGATTTTGTCTTTTACACTTTTAAATAAAAGCAAAACGTCTTCCACCCCCGTCCCGCGAGTTTGTGGAGAAAGTTAGAAATACGCTCGGAAATCAATCAATCATTCTATCTGTATTCCTCCCACTACTGCGCACTAACAAGCTAACAAGCTAACGAAACTGCCGCGACAAAGCTCCTGGTTATATTATTATGCGAATGTTCAATAATTCATGGACTCTAAAAGGTTTGAATACTCCTCCTTTTATATATGTAGTCCACCAAATGTTATTACAATAGATAATCACACGCATTTTAATAAGACAGATCGTTTCCAGGGAACGTCTTCTATAGCCTTCTGCGTAGGCCTTTTTGTTAGGGGGGGGGGCGGAAACGACTCCCCTTAACATCGACTGCTTGAGAGGCACAGTTTCCCATGCTGAGCCGTTACTGTCACTTCTCGTTACCCCTCTAAGAAGGGGCGAGTAGGCGAGTCACGTATCCAAGAGAGGAAATTATACTCTTATTTCTGAGGTTAAACTTCCTGTAATCAGCATCTTTTGCGAAAGACAGACAACTGATGAAGTTTCTCCATTTACAGAACGTCTTTCTCCTTTAAACTTATTTTTGAAATGCTCGATTTATTTTAAGAGAAAGGGATTTCTCAGGTTAATTGAACTGCTTCACTTCTTCAGTGTAACCTTTATCAAGTTAGTGTAACACACCCATATTCAGTGAACACAAGCTGCACTAAGTCCCATTGTGTTCTCCCCGTACAAAGCCGTTTCTCTTTTAAGACAGATGCCATCGAGACCTTCACTTAGTGTCCATTTTAGCATGTTCACCTTATAGAGAATCAAAGAGAATGACTAAATACCATGCCCTCTGATGGCTAGCACTAGACTACCCAGCTTTTGAATCTCTTGTGTACTGTATCAAACCTGTTTCGTTGGCTGACCTTTATGAGCCGTCGTTTGGTGATTTCTAGTATTAGTGGCCTTTGTAGAATAGGTGAGCTTAAGCCATCACAGTTTAGTCGTCTAATAGACTGTGTAGAGACCTCCCGGCCCACCCTTTCCCCTCAGGAAAAATCGCCCCTTCTCCTATTTTTCCTGGGGAGAGGAGGGCTGTACACAGGCTAGTGGTCTAACGACAGTGTACCAAAATAAACAGCGCAAAGAAACTTTAGTTCAAAGACAAACCGTTCTAAAACATGGCCATGGCCTGCTTTTTAATAGCTAGTAGGTTGATGTTGTCGATTGCCTTTGTCTGCCCTCTTTATGGGCGCTGGACGAAAGATTCTGCAACATTTTTTTTTCTTTTATTTGTAGTTTATCTGTTATATTAGGATTGATCGGTGGTATTTATCGATCCATCGTTAACTAGGTCACCGAAACTGGTGAAAATTCCATGCAGTTCCAATGGTGTGCACACAAATAAAATTTCTCAGTGCACTGATTTAGTTTTTCAGGGCTTAAGTATTTGTTCTAGGTGCACAAACACATTTCTTAGTGCACAAATACATTACTTCGGTGCACAAATATATTTCTCAATGCTCAAATACACTTCTCTAAGATACTGATTTGTGCACTACTAGGGTGCACTACATACGAGCCTCTACAGGAGCTCATAACCCGGGAGGGGCACCCAACGAGAATATAGTTCAAAACCACTTAAACATAGCATTGTTAAGTATTTAGTATTTAAACGGTGAATATGGGCATATTTTTATCCCCTATAAATTTTTCATCTGTTCGGATTTCGTAGCTGAAAGTCTAGTGATCCGAAAATTATAGGGATCAAAACTTACCTGAAGCTTTTAAAGTCGGTCTTTTTTCCGAGGGCTTTTAAGATCCACTGGAAAAATCCCATTTTTAGGCAACTTTTACCCGTTTTTTACCATTTTTTAGATGTTCGAAAATCCTAGGAGAGGCAGGCAAGCAAATAATTTTACAACAAATGTTCCGAAAATACTAGATCTCAAATCGTCTTCCGAGCAGATATTTTTCCGAAAATTGTCGTTGGGTGCCCCTGACCCGGAACGGGCAATTTCCATGCGCTCGTGTCACTGCGTTTTCACTGACCAGTTCATTTTTAGAACCTTTATTATTATTTTATTTTATTTTTCTATTTCTTTGCCAATTTTGAATATCATTTAAATTCCACAAACCAGTCAGCAAAACCTACAAACCTAAAACTGATATTTTTTGCCTTTTAATAACGTTTAGTTTTCGTTTTTGATATCTACTTCGAATGCGCTCGTAGACCTGGTGTAGATTCTAATTTCGCGGGAAAAAGTTCCCAAGATTAGCCCGAAATTCATCCGATTGCTTCGAGTCGTTTTCTCCTCTCTACTGAGGGAGTAATAACGACTCGAAGTAATCGGATGAAATTCAGGCTAGCCCGAGATGTGTCTGAAAATAAACTGGTAGAAGTGGTTGTCCTGTGGAGCGGCAGAGAGAGACCGGGTCTATTCTCTCTGTTGCCAAGAAACTGGCCCTGTTTTTCTCGGCGCCATATTGAAAATTTGTTGCGAGAGAAGAATATCTTGTCATTTTATGTCAAACTTCTTCATTTAAACTATGCCGGCTGCTAATCTGGTGGAACAAAAACCAAAAAAGGAAGAGGACAACTATCCAAGGTAACAAAATATAACAGAGCCTTGCGATATGGTGTGGCGAATTTGTGCAAGTATCAGATGAGCCTTCGCAAAAAATGATTTCTTATTAAGTTAATAAGCTTACTGCGTGCTATTTTAAATCACTTTACAGAATCACAAAGAAGCTTCTATTTCAACTCTGCAAAGAACATAAGTTGTATAGAACACCATACCTCAATGATGTTCTTTATCTTCACTATAAAGGTAGGCAATGTGATTGCATGTAAATATTAAGTAAGCTTAAGTTTATGAAAAAATGAAATGAGAAGTGCTGGGTTATTGCCAAATTATAAAGGTTTATATGGTAAAGTGAACAACTTTCAAATCGTGCATGTGGCAGTTATTGCTGGATTACAGTATTAAACTATTTAATAATCATTGCCTTTAACTCATTTTTTGGCTGACAGGCTTTGCTAAGATAGAAAACCTAGAGGAATACAGTGGACTGAAGTGTCTGTGGTTGGAATGCAATGGAATTAGCAGAATTGAAAATCTCGAAAACCAGAAAGAGTTACGATGCCTGTGAGTATTTAGAGTATTGTACAAGCGGGTTCCCTGATGAGGAGGCCAGGGTAGGGCATATTGAATTCCAACTACATAACACATGTGCCTTTGCAAGGAGGAAATAAAAAAAAATACTGTATTTACTTTAGTCTTTTTTTACTGGACTTGTCAGGATCAAATGGCCACATTTGTGGTTGTGAGGGTTGGTTGTTAAGGGGATAACACAACACTTTTTGGACAGGTACAAATTTTGAAGTAAAAAACAACTCAAAGTAAGTAAGGTGAACCCTGAGAAAACAGCCAACATATTTCAATGCTACCTCTGGTTTCCCTGTGAAATTACATCTGAGGAATGAACACAGAAATTCCGTAGTGATGAGGTTCCACTATCCAGATTTGGTAGCGCTTCTGATCAGATGAAGCAAACTTTCAATCAATCAGAAGCACTACCCACAATACTTGTCACAAATCATTGAAACAAGGGCCATTTGTCTTGAATTTTCTCCAAATTTCTTACATCCACTCCTGATACCCTCGTTCCCACTCAAATGTGCCCCTCTCCTTCCCCAATTTTGAGCCACGGGTATTTTGGAGCACGGAGACGACTGTAATACCCAAATTAATATTGGGGAAGGGGAAAATTGCACAAGTGTTTCAAAATTTGTAACGAGTATTGCAGATCTGGGTATAAGTGGAATGTCATCAGTATAGAATTTCTCAGTGGGTTCCTCAGAAGTCATTTTGCAAGGAAACCAGTGGAGGAGTTGCAAAATGTCAGCTGTATTTTCAGGCTAAGTATAAGGTGCAGTTAGCGCATTATTTCCCCAGCTTGATTGCCCTCAGTTAAGCAGCCATTGCCATGTGGAGAGGAGGCCATTGTAGGGATTAAAACAAGACTAGATGTATGGAATATCAACCACAACCAAACAAAGAGGCCACTGAACACGTAGAAAGGCAGCTGTTGGTAGAGGTTTATAGGGTATCAGAATTGTTGATATTATCTAATCAAGTATGTGTTGTTTGGATTTAGGTATCTTCAACAGAACCTACTAACAAAGCTAGAAAATGTAGAGCATTTGGAATACTTGGACACACTGAATGTGAGCAACAATACAATTTCCAAGATTGAAAATATCAGTAAGTGTTAAACTACATTGTATAACAAAATTAATTAATATTAGATAGGGGCATACTATATATCAAAAAACGAGTGCATAGCAATTTATTCAATCAACCTGGGTTCTAGAGGGAATTTTTAAAGATGGATTTCCAGTAGATAGAATGAGCTTGCCAGCAGATGATAAACAGCAATGCCTATTCTAGGGATTCTGCAGATAATATTAGGACCTGCCAGCACACAGTTGAAAAGGTGCAATTAAATTATTGTTTAATATAATGTTTAACTTTAAAAACTTGATATAGTATTAAGCGAGGTGCTTTTACACATTAAACAGGTGGTATTCCTAAACTGAGCACGCTGCAAATATCGCACAATCGGTTATCAACTGCTGATGACTTAAGGCATTTAACAGAATGTCACAATCTCAGGTATGCTTTAAAATGAATTTTAGGAACTACTACCAATGACACACTTTAGAAAGCTGGTTCAATTAATAACTAGGGACGAAGGCCACTGAATTGAAGTCAGTAGGTGCATTAAGCCAAAACTTAACAATAGTGACTGAACAAAAGAACTGAAAATTTTACTAACAATAAAACAACCAAATGTGACTGCAGTGTACAGCGGTTTTCTGTGACGCACATCCGGGACTTGCATCGGGGATGTATTAAAATGAGAGAGTATGCAAAGATCAGTGTTGTTACTGATTGATAGGATGGTACACTGTATTAAAAGTGTATTAATTTCACAAGCCTCTTTGTTGGTTTTCTATACAATGATGAAAATTGGGTTTGAAATCAGCACCACCCTCTCATCCAGTGACATCACAGGTTACTTGACAGTCAACCAACCCAATAATATCACATCATTTAACAGAATGTCACAATCACAGGTATTACATGTAATAATGTATTCTAAAAATTATGATACTATTGAAAAAAAAGCGAATGACATCACAGGTTAACTGACAGACAACCAGTAACGTCATGACTTAATTGACTAATCAGGCCAATAACTAGAGTTTAATACCATCAACTGAGGATATAAACTCATTTTGATTTTTAAAGATAACACCCAACAAAGGTTGTTGTATAAACGTCAGTGACACTGCATAACATCATGTGCCATTCTAAGACAGACAGCCAAATAAGAGTACATGTAAATTCTTTTTCGCAGGACACATCTATCTAATTGTCACACAAATTTGTGATAACTTACTATTGCTTCATTTTCCACAGTGTATTAGACGTATCACACAACAGAATTGATGATCCTGAAGTTCTAGAAGTTCTTGCATCTATGAAAAATCTTGTAAGTCTTATGTACTAGGTTCTTCAGTTTTGTCCAAACATTCATACGTTGTGGTTTAATATCCTTCGATTAAATTTTATTTCTCTTTGGTTTAATGTATGATAATGAGTTTGAAATAAAGGGAAATAAAATTTAAACCAAGGATGAAATTGAACCACAACAAAGATATAATATCGATTGAATTTTGTGGGTACCTTTTTGCCCAGTACCCTTTGTTTATTTAACACAATGATCACACTTCAGATTCCTCATTGAATGAAAAATAGGACCAGCATCAGAGGTTTCTGAGCAAGCACTGTAATTTTGTGCCTACCCAACAAAATGGAAATGGGAGACCTTGTTAATGCCTACTTTCTTGACTTGCTTATTAGCCACCCTGTTAAAAGTTGCTGCAGTTACATGTACATGTTGTGTGAGCACTCATATAAATTATCTACTTTAGCTGAATGAAGTTAAAGACAGTACCACTTTAAATCAAATGATCAGCTTGAAAATTTGACTGTTGCTTCTTTTCCCAAATGACCAGCATGTTCTCAATATGATGGGTAATCCAGTTATAAAGAAGATCAAGAACTACAGGAAAATGTTCATCATTAAAATAGTGAGTAATCATTGGTTTTCCTGGTTTTTTCCACAAAGTATTGTAGTCAGTCAAATTAGCCAATGAAAGTTCCTTGCTGTCTTTTTTCTTTCTTAATTCTATTTTATCTTTGTTTTGTTTTTTTTTTGCCCACGTTTCCATTCGTTTCCACGCCGTAGCTCTCTCATTTTAACTAATTATGTTCACTATATATTTTTGTTGTTGTTGTTCTCTTTAGAAAGAGCTGCGATACCTAGATGACAGACCAGTTTTTCCAAGGGAAAGGGCCTGTGCCGAAGCTTGGTGAGAATTAATGATCAGCAGTTCTAACAGTTTTATCATTTGACGATATTCATGTATTCAAATACTCAAAAACATCCCCCATCACATTAGTTATCCGATTTTTCTCAGAACTCATTAGGGAGTGCACTGGAATTTTCTTTATTGC